TGGCGGTGGCCGAGCACGTGCGGTACGAGAGCACCGGCCCGGCGCTGTGCACCGTGGTCTTCCTGCTCGTCTACTTCTTCGGCATGGCCAGCTCCATCTGGTGGGTCATCCTCTCCCTCACCTGGTTCCTCGCCGCCGGCATGAAGTGGGGCAACGAGGCCATCGCCGGCTACGCGCAGTATTTCCACCTGGCCGCCTGGCTGCTGCCCAGCGTCAAGTCCATTGCCGTGCTGGCGCTCAGCTCCGTGGACGGGGACCCCGTGGCCGGCATCTGCTACGTGGGCAACCAGAGCCTGGAGAACTTACGGGGCTTTGTGCTGGCACCGCTGCTCATCTACTTGGCCATCGGCTCCATGTTCCTGCTCGCTGGCTTCGTCTCGCTCTTCCGCATCCGCAGCGTCATCAAGCAGCAGGGCGGCCCCACCAAGACCCACAAGCTGGAGAAGCTGATGATACGCCTGGGCCTCTTCACCGTGCTCTACACTGTGCCAGCTGCCAGCGTGGTCGCCTGCCTCTTCTACGAGCAGCACAACCGGCCCCGCTGGGAGGCCACGCACAACTGCCCCTGCCTGCGCGACCAGCAGCCTGATCAGGCCCGCCGCCCTGACTATGCTGTCTTCATGCTCAAGTACTTCATGTGCCTGGTGGTGGGCATCACCTCCGGTGTTTGGGTCTGGTCTGGCAAGACCCTCGAGTCCTGGAGGGCCCTCTGCACCCGCTGCTGCTGGGCCAGCAAAGGTGCTGCCGTGGCTGGGGCCACAGGGGCAGGAGCCAGTGGGCAGGCGGCAATCGCCGCAGCAGGAGGACTTGGGGCTGGAGGCGGGGGCTCCCTCTACAGCGATGTCAGCACCGGCCTGACGTGGAGGTCAGGTACCGCCAGCTCTGTCTCCTACCCCAAGCAGATGCCCCTGTCTCAAGTGTGAGGAGGGGGAAAGAGGCCAAAGGTTAGGGAATGAGGGACACTGGCCTGCCTAAAATGCCCCCTCACTGTTTGGTGCCATTAATGAACCCCTAATGGTCCTTATTAGCCACAGCTTGTATAGAACAATGCAGCTGGCAGAGGCCCCAAGCTCCAGCCCCCTCCTCCTTCCTCTCCATTCATATGCAGGGAGCATGTACTTCAAGGAGCCAGCTTATTATTTTGCTGGCAGAGGAGGGTAGAGGCTCACCCGTGTCTTGCAGAGGGCAAGGCACAGCGGCTCTGATTCACTCTGGACTAACAGCAGCTCTTCACTCATGGGAGGGAGGGTCTTCCTCCCCCCCCATCCCGAGGTGGGAGTCTGCTGGGACTGCAGGTTTTTGGGATATTGATGACCAGGCAAATGCCTTACAATACAGACTGAATCAAAACATGTCTTAATTATACACCCCAGCTAAATACGGGTTTCCTACAATAAAGGATGTATTTATATAATTATTTGTTACCTTGTACAGATGTGTAAAATATGTATATATCCAAAGCTATACAGTCTGTAAATTTTTTTGTAAAAAAGTGTAGAGGCTACCCCTGTAAGAGCAAATATGAGTATTCTATTTTGTCAATAAAATGACTTTTGATAAATGACCTTTTGAAGCTTTCCCCTGCTCGTGCCCTGGTTGTTCCAGCTGCTGTGTCTTCAGGTGGTTCTATAAACTATGAACTACATTCGTGCTCTAGTTATTACTGTGTAAGATTGCTGCCTCCGTTAAAGCAGTGAGATAGGTAGACACAAGGAAAACAAGTCAATTCAACAGGTTCTGAAAAAGTGTTTGCCAAAACTGGGAGGTGCCTTACCATAGTTCTCCTCTGCTTTTTGAAAGATGAGTGTCTTTAAGCTGAGCCTTTACAAAAGAGTCACCTCGCATGGCATGTTAAGTATCCTTTTAAAATGGGTGTTATTTTAGGAATGTGCACACACACCTCTCATATCTGTTGTCTACACTTCTGTAAGCACCTGCCTTTCCGGGGATGCATACTGAAGTGTAAAAGGTTAATGTTTTAAATTCATAGATCATGTACTACGGTGGAACAGCGAGTTGAGATTTGTTAGATCAATCTCTTCTTAACAGATTAAACTAACATCTTAACCTTTCATACTTAACTTTTGTATATCAAATATGGTCCTTTTTCAAGAGAAAAGGTATTGTTCTTCTGTCAGGACTAAGCTAATTTATTTGAGCAGAAGGCTGTTGAATTAACAGAAGAATGCTTTGGCAATTGTTGAACTTTTTACCTGTCTGCCCAGTGGCTCAGAACATCATTCCTTTAAGAGGAGCTAAATGAATAGGGTTAATCTGTAGGGAACTTGGTTTCTTTTGAGTTTGGGAAAACTTTGATCTTTTCTCTTCACCAAACGTGATGTATAGTCTGAAGTTTCTTTCCCTGCTGCCTGGTTCCTCTTGTTGCAGACCAATTGGCCACCATGGAGCCTTAAAGTTCTTCAATTAAAGGGACGTGGGACTTTTTTTTTTTTTATTTTAAGAGGAACTTTTTTTTTTTTTTTTTTAAGAGGAAGACTTGTAACAGTTAGTGAACACCAGAGGGAAAAGGGAGAACAGCCTTTTAAACAGCTTTTCCCTGCATTGTTAGCCAGACTGCAGGCAGCAAGGCACGGCTTGGAGCATTATAGAAAAGAGCTATGAATGCCCTACAGGTGGTCTGCTCACATAATCTCCCCAATTTAAAACATTTTCCTTTACAGGACAATTGCATTACAAAACTCCCTTCTCTTTCGCTCCTAATTGAACCAAAGAACAACTGCAAGATTTTCTTTAAAAACTGAGTGTCTAAAAAAAAATGAAAATCTATTAACTACATTCTAATCTGTTTTCTAAAATGGGATCGCTCGGAATACCAGGAGTAAAAGCTGCATTAGACATTATTCCAGATATTTTTATGCCTTCTGCTTATATTCTGTCAAATTAGCAATCATTTAAAAGCAATTGGTTAGGTTGTGTGCTAGCAGTGAAAAGAGAGCCCCAGGTCCCTTATTAACCTGTCAATCATGATAAGAGATGGGCAGCTACCCTACTAATGACACAGATATCAATCATGATTTGTGGGAAAAACCTTGTTCCACTGAGCACTGACTTGATTATTGGTGTCCCTTTCAAAGATCCCTTAACTTTAATAGACTCCTCCACTTCTACGAAGTTACAGGGATCATGAAAAGGAGGAATTTCAAATGCCAATCTCTAATTCCTGGGAGGGAAAAACAATTTTAACTTCTCAAATGCAAAGGATGTTCCACTGGGATTTATGCATGGTACCTATTTATACACCAATTGACCAGGATCAGAATATTGAAATACCTGTAAGTTGAAAAGGCCCTAGCATTTTCCTGTGTTGCTGGAAACTTTTTTTTTTTCCCCAACAGTTGTTGAAGCATTAAAATCAACAACTCCCCCTGCTGTCAGTGGGGCTAAGGTAGAGGTCGTCTTCCTCCTGGGGAAGCCCCATGGGTGGAAGAACAATCACTTCTTCAGATAAAAATCTGTGTTCCTTCCCACTCCAGTGGGTTCTAGCAAGGAAGACTGAGGGAAGGTACAACTATTCTGTGAGAATTTATTTAGATAGGTCTCTCAAAGACTGCTGGTACAGGTTGCTAGTGCTGAGATAAAAGCATTTCTAGTAAAAGATAGGAAGTAGCTCTGTGGCTTAACCTAGCTTGGAATGAGCTAAGAGGTGCTGCAGCTGGACTTAGGAAAGCAGTCTTGGAGCTAGGTTAACAAGACGCCTGCTTTGACATTTGGTAATGACTGAGTAATAATGCAAAGGTTAAACAAATAAAAATGAGACAAAATTCAAATCGCTAGAAACAGAAACCTGGGGAAATGGTGCTAGAGAAGTTAATTCACAAGTGCAGATTTTTGTGAATCAACATAAAATTTGTGTCTAGGGAAAATAAATAACCAGAAAAACCAACAGCAAGGCATTTAGGTACACAAGAAATAAAAATCCACAGCTACACAGCACTTCACATTATTATGATACCCTTTATCAGATGTTAAAGATAAGATAAATTTGCTGTGAAGATACAAAATATGTTGGTGAGGTAGTAGGAGTTACATGTTACCTTTCAGGGTCTGATGATAAACTGCCTTCTCCCTAAATTTGCCAGAGAGCTACTAAAAATAGTCCCAGCAGACCTGTGGCCCAAGCCCTTGCCTGCGGAGCCCTTGGCATCCCTGCTGGTGTAGGCTCACCCGTGGGCAGGGGCAGCACCCATATGCCCTGGCAACCCCACCAGCGCATGAGAGCTAAGGGAAACTTTCATTATCACTGATGTGGTTCCAATAGCACAACTTGCGTAGCAACATTTGGAGAGCTGGATAGATGGCAACTAAGAGCCTCCTGCAGCTCCCAGAAAGGTCTAACTAACTAACTGCTCTGTTCAGGAGAGTGACTAAGCTAGCAGAGAAACACGGTTTGGGATTTTTTTTTTTCTTCTCTAGTAAGCAACATACCTTTAGAGTGTTCCTTTTCCTTCCAGGACTCCTCCCTGCTTTACGTGTTCTTGCTTCAAAAGGAAATCCTATGGATCATTCTCCTCCTGCTGTAATGACTGAATAATCCTGCAGCCTCTAAAGGAGCTGGCCCAGCTGCCAGTGGGCCTTTTAAAAAGAGGCAGAGCAGCGCAGGTGTGCTGCAGAGCCTCAGGAGGGGTACCACACCTCCCCTGGGCCCTGCTGCTGAGTCCCTGGGAGCTACCTGGAAGTGTCCTGCAACCCGCTCCAAAGTTTTCCCTGTGCAGGGGAAGCTTCCCTGGAGCTTTGATAATCAGTCATGGAAGGGAAGGGACTTCAGACAGGGAGGAACTGGGAAATTCTTATATATTGAAATATGAATGTGGCCAGGCTTTCTGGGAAGGCTATGAAGGCTGACTGGCACACAAGGAGTCTTTTTTCCTTCTTTCTTACGTAATATTTTAAAATCAAAGTATTTGGGTTCTCACCCATTAAAGAGTTCTTCAAATGTGCTTGACTAGTCCTAAAAGGTCTCCCAGGTGGGGCAGGAAAGCTAGAGGCAGAGGCGCCTCTGTGCGCGCACTGCCCACAGCGTGCTTCACCCCAGCTTAAGAGCCCAGGCTCTTTCCAGATTCACTTGGGCAGACACCTTGCTAGACACCTGAAGGTGGCTTGTAGAAAAAATCAACAATGGTTTTTCACAAGAGGAAACCAGTACTGGGAGCCAAAGCAGAATGTCCAAGTTTAAAAAGGAATCAGTAGCTGAGAAAGAAATACCAGAGTCCTTGGGACAAACCCAGGTCCACTTTGAAATATAAAAACTTCAGTACAAGTAAGATCACTGATCCCAGTGACTCTGCTCAACATACTTCTTTCACAAGCACTACATGCAGTGGAAAAGCCAAACCTAGCCTGCCCAGGAAGTTAACCCTCTTAACCAATAAAGGCATGGAATTTTATATGGGATAGACAGGCCACCTAATATGGGGAAAAAGCGAACTGGTGATAATGAATGTTGAAAAACAACAAACGATGCTCCTGGAGTGAAAGCTCCAGTCAAGATCATGCTGGAGGACAGCTCAGTGTGGGCCAGTCAAACCAGCTTGTGGAATCACAACCAGTTTCCAAAGTGCCTGTTACAACCTGCCTGTAGCATGCCCTACTCCTGCACCCTGTTTCCAGAGCCACGCAGCCTGTGTTTCTCTGGGCACACGCTCCTTCCACTCCCACCCATTGTGGCCTACCCAGCTTCTGGCCCAACAGGGAAGCAAGCGAGGAACAATTTCTCTCCATTGCCCATCCTGGCCATATTCCCTCTCTTTTTGCCCTGCATACCAAAAGTAGAATTAAAGAGGCTGGGCAACAAAGGTCACCCTGAAAGCAACAGGATGAGCTTTAGAAGAATAAGGAAAGTGATTTACAGATGATGGTCCAAGGAAGAAATATTAAACAGGGCAGACTCCCTGCATGTGGTCATGATGAGTTCTAGGCAGCCTTTCAGAGAACTCAATTAGAAATGTTCAGACAGCTCTATTTATTTAAGCTTTTATGAATGCCCATCATTACTGTAATCAGGTATATGAATTTCACTAGTTCAGCAGAAAGGATCACACATGATAAATGCTACGGTGGTATGGAAATAATGCGTGTCTGGTATTAAAATGTGGAGCCATAATCTGAGGTGACTAAGGATAGTCAAATCACTTCAGAAACTAGTACCTAAGGTCAAATGCCGAACCAAGCTTTTTTGAAGGCTGAGATAATACTTTTTCACTCCTACAAGTCTCTTATCTATGATCTCAAAACACTTTACATTCACTTGTGAATTAATAGTCAAATTTCTCCTTGGGAGAAAAAAACCTGCAGTAATACCCGGGCTAATGAAACTTAAGTGATGAGTCTAGGGGAAGAACCTGGATTTCCCAACTCTGTTTGGTATTTTCAATAACACTCCATTTTGCAAGCCCTTCCTCACAGCTATGCCCTTCCCACCAATTTCCCCCCAACAACACCCCCAAAGTGCCATAGTCCCACATGCCCAGAGTGTACGCAGTTTCCCAGGCACAACACCAAATCTATCACCCATTTTCAGTAAAGCTGGCACGCTCAAACACCAAT